CCCCCCCCCCCCATACACACAATATTTATATCGTTGATTTTTGAGCAACACTCAAAGAACAACTCATTCTACATTTGCATTGTCATTCTTAGTAGTTTTCATCAATTCATCATTTTTCGCAGTCAACAAATACTACCCGTGTAAGAATTCCTTCCATTATCGACTGTAAGCTCTTAGTTAAGCTGGTGGTGGCGCAGTGATTCAGTCGCTGTCACCGACGTGCTTTGGACCCTATGGTCCGAGGTTCGAGCCCCGCCACCACCACTCAACTTTGGTAGAAGGCAGCTTTGCTGTCGCCCGGTTCTATACCACGCCTGAGCTAGCGGGGCCTTATGTGTTTCACCACTCCAAGTCCCGGGGCTTGGGTTGCGGGTTACCATCACTGAACACCAGGTCCTCGTGACTATGGGGTCCGCCCCGACTGTTCATCACACACTGGTGTGTAATAAAAAAAGTTGTATACGAGAATTGGAAGAGTAGACCTCGGTTTCTCGTTTCGTCTCCTGTTTTTATACGTATTACCAAGTTGATTGTTGGCTAACAGACTTGGGTCGTTTCGAGTCCTTTCCGCTATATCTCATGGGGTAGATTATAAGGTTAAGGTACTTGAATTTAATTGTTCCAGATTGAGTTGTCGGTTGATGATTGTTATCGCGTCACTCCTCGCCTGTTGATGGAATGTTCTACTGTAGTGAAATGGGCATACATCACCTTAGTCAATCAGACAGTTGGTTGCTTATTGGTTACTGTTGTCTCACATATTTGTACCATGTGGATTTTTATTTTGGATATGTTTGTTGGAGATGTGTTGTATTGCACAAATATAATAATTATTCTATTATCATTTTAGGCAATGACACCAAACAATAATGTTCCAATGCACCATTCGATGATGCCTCCGAACGAAGAAATGAACAAATATGCGCATTTGTTGCAAGTAATTGAAGAGATGGGTCGTGATATCAAGCCGACATATGCAAACAATAAAAATGCAGCCGAACGACTGAAGAAAAATATCCATACCGCTCGTATCCTGGTTCGCGAATGCGTTTCCGAATTGGAACGTGTAATGAAGTCATGAATATTCCAATCAAAGTTTATCTTTCCCTGTCTCCCCTTGTGAATTGTACCCGATTATGTGTATTGATTTTTTAGTCTTAACGATTCCACGGTATTTTCTATTGAGTGGTATTGGACTTAAACCGGCCCGCAAATGAACGTGTTTTTACCATGCCAGCGGTTTCGTCCTGGAAGTTCGACCAGTCATATTCAAACTCGAAACAAGCAATGACGGAAATTGTATTTGATCGTAGCTGGTTTGCACGCTTGTTGTTAGACTATACCTACTTTTATTTTTATTAAACTCTCCCATATGACCATAAGTCGGCTTCATGTAAGCTATTTTGAAAGAGTTTAAGAATAGATGACGAGGTGTTGTTCCCGGTACCGCCAACCTTTTGCCTTGAAAATGCTTCTTCGGTCCTTTTACAGCCGAATACTACCTTTAGGGCTAATTCACTTCGCTTTAATACGGTTGGCTCTTTGGAGAGTATAAGCCGGCTTCATGATGATCATGGAGTTTCATAGGAGTTCAGTACGACACAACCTCAGAGTCGTGCGATCTTTTCTATGTTATCCTTATTTTTTACATACATGTGAGTTCAAACTGTGCCAAACAAATTACTGTACAATAATCTTTTTGAAAAGAAGAAAAGGTTCATGATTTGCTCGAGGGCGCAACACTGCAATATTACCCAGTCTAAAGCAGGTGAATTTTCTTAGCCTTGGCGTAGTCAAGTGGGGGCTGCAGTAGTGTTGGTGTATTGTTACCGGTAGCTCTGTATAAGCTCATTCAGCATATGTAGCTGTAGCCCAGGGGTCCATGTATTCCTTTTGATTGGACGGGCTTCCTTCATAGCCGTCAGATCAGGTGGTCGATCCCGTCCACTTTGGCATGCCGTTCACCTCACCAAGGCCTTTGTACTTCCTTTATCCTCCGCTTGATTTAGCCCGTCTGTCAAGCGGTTTGCCGGAGTGACTGCTGGTGTATTCCTCAGCGGCGTGGAGCCACAAGTAAAGGTTGGGTACACAATGCAGACTAACGAGGAGGGGATGCTCCCGAGGGGACACGATAGTCAACCAACTCAGGGTTGCTACTCCTATCAAATGCCCATCCATCCGTAAACTACGAGGTGCTGGTGGTTTTATTACTTAGTTACGCGCCCGATTTGTATGCATCACAATGTGCTCTGCAAATATTTATGGTTCTTCGTTGCACACAGATTGCCTCGAAAATCGAAATCCTTTACAACGTCTTTTAACTGTGCCTGCTTACTCAGCAAAGCACCATCCATCTAACCACCTTAAAGACCCTTCTTCGAATGACCTGAAGACACCGCTCTCAAAAAATGTGAAAATTTAACGATTGAGAAATTGTAGTGACCTATGAGTGGGAGTGAATTTCAAATGCTTAGTAAACAAAACAAAAAATCACCGATGTTGGTATCTCGAAAATGTATTCGGTGACCCAATTGAGTCCCCATGTATTTTACTACTTGCTTGTTTCATCGCACTTATGGTCGAACGAACACAGATCCATCGAACCTGAGTTGTTCCCTGAAGGGTGTTAATGAGAAAATGCTTGCCATGTGCATTAGTTAGTTTTGCACTGCGCACATTTTGTGCGGTGAACAGCAGACGGGTTAGACTCCCATAATCACAAGGATATAGCTGACGAAATTATTTTGGTTTTTAATATTTGCCATCACCTGTCGCCGAGATCCGTACGAATAATGGATTCTTATATTCCCGAAATATGCCACCGGCAGACATTAAATGAAAACGCAGTCTAACAAACAAGCTTCTTTTCGATGAATCATCAACTGGCTAATAAGTCACATTTTATGTAACATCATTTCGCACGATTGTAGCTCATGATGCAGGGAACACTTCACCACCAACATATCATTGTGATGATAGCTCTTTCTTATTTATCAATCCCTCCCAATGGAAAAATTGGATCACAACCACTCTATTTTCTCTAGACCATATCACCCATAGTGTGGTGAAGTATTTTAATGCGATGTGCAACATTTGCAGCACTAATACAAAAGCAGTAGTAATAAACTTCAGTAGTTTGTTCTGAAGGTTGCCATCTATCCAAACTTTACTCTAAACTAGCTACGTAACTGTATTCCAAATTTGGGCGTGCCCTTATGCCATAGGATTGAGCATATGATGCGGTGGTGTCGCAGTGGTTTAGTCGCTGTAACTGGCGTGCTTTGGACCACATGGTCCGAGTTCCTCCACCACCACCCAACTTTGGTGGTGTTCAGCTTTGCTGTCGTCCGGTTCGCCACTCCAAGTACCGGGGCATAGGTTACTGCTTTCTGTGACGGAGCAGGTCTTCTTGACTATGGGTTTCGCCCCGTCTGCTGTTCACCACACAAAATGTGTGTATCAAAAAAGGATTATCTCAGGAGAGAAATGAAAACTACCCGAATTTCCTCTCAACATGTTCATTCCTTGTTTTGTTCGTAGAGACACACTTCGCACAACCCGGTGATTACTCTTGTTGACGGATACACACAGACTACCTGCATGTTCAGATGTGTGAAGGTTTCTTACAGATCAATTGTCCTCTTACAGTGGAGTGTAGTTACCCAAACCGAATGAATCCTACGTTCGGTGCAAGTACAGCTGAAAAATTGAATTTTAACAGTCCTGCTAATCTTTTAACATTTAAAATTTAGACCTATGCGGATCGCTATATTTTGCTCATGGATATACTATTAACACCGACATTAATTTCAGTTTGTACAACCAGTAACCATGCACTTTCGTGCGCCGGTTTCGGTTGCTATCTTTCGGCTGCCCATTTGGATGAACATTAGGAGAAAGACAGGAAAGGTTGAAAGTAGGATCAAAGAAAAATTTAGAATTTTATTGAACTAACGCTGCGGAGATATTGACAAGATAACATGAACGCCACTGTTCATGACACAGCCATATCATTCAGTGTCTCTAACCATCGGGTACGATCATCCCAAGGTCCCCAGCCAGGGAGTCTAACGGGACCCATGTGACCCAGACTCCTGGTTACGGTTTCCATACCCTCATGCCAGCTCTTAGGTTGACCACCCTTGGCTTTCTTCCAACCACTACCT